GGGGCGTTGGCATGGCCCCCCCCCCCCCTCCGGGGGTGATTTCTCATTTTCTGTCTCTCTCTGTCTCTTTGGCGAATGCACACACCAAATCCCTATTTTAAAAAAAAAAGAAAAGAAAAGAGAAGAAAAGATTACATTTTCAACTGGTTTCCTAAACTGTAGCTATAGGCTAGCAGCAGATACAAGGAAAAAAAATGGATGAGTGTTATAGTATTATTTACATACTCTAATAATGATTTTTTTTTTTAAATTTTTGCTATAAGCCATGTGTGCTTGCCAGAAGGAGACAGAGAGGGATAGAGAGAGAAAGACAGAGAGAGGAAGTGAGAAGTCACCTCGCAGGGGAATAGTCATGCCACAATCCCTTCTCCTCAACTCTCCTCTCTGGATTTTTGGCATGCATGCACATGTGCCCAGTGTGATTCTCAAGCCATCACATCTGGAACTCAAAATGTGGAGTCAGCCATGTGGGATCTAGTTCCTTCACCTACTCATCACCAGCTAGCCCTTATAAATGAAAATTCTCTAAGCAAGTGAATACTAAGAAATACTTTGGCTTTGCGATGTATTCACTATCTGTTTATTCTTCAGTTATCAATTCATTAGCAATCAGGTCGTATGAGGACTGCATAAACGCTAATGATGCCAGATGCTAATATTTCCTAGTGTTATAAAATCTGCTTACAAAGAATTACATACAGGGTCTATAAGAGCAAGTGCTTTGAAGTCATGGCAATAATATTTTTAGGATGGGATATAATTTGTTTGAAGGAATCTCTGCCTGCATTATATCACATGAGAGCTTTCTTATGCCACTGTAAAGACATCTTAAGCAAGAGCAAACGACATTAATGAGCTTTTTGTAATGCAAATTGGTGTCAAGAATGAAAATGAGGGCTTTGTGTTTTTCACCACACCCCATAGTCAGGGTATATAAAGAAGGTTCCGAGACAAAGGGAGCACATCACACCGAGGAAACATTCTCTAGTGCTACCTACATCCTCCACTCCTGACACCATGCACTGCAACAACTTCTCCGGGACTGTCTTCCCAGGATGCTACTGGGGCAGCTATGGCTACCCCCTGGGATACAGCGTTGGCTGTGGCTACGGCAGCACCTACTCCCCAGTGGGCTATGGCATGGGCTATGGCTACACCGGCTGTGGACCTTACAGAAGATACTGGCCATTTGGTCTTTACTAATGTACTGAAATCCCTGAGGTATAGAATCTGCTCCCTTGAAGCCTGAGTGTGTATCTCTAGGTTTCTCCTTCATCTGCTTCTTTAGTTCTCATCTGTTCATCGACCTCAGAGTTGCTGCCTTTCAGATCTAGCACCAGAGTTCCAACGGAAGAAAATGAAACACCAGAAGAAACTTCAAGTTGCCGTCCCTGGATGATGTTTCTTGGGACGTTTTCAGAAACTTGACTCTCTACTCAGGATGTATTACTTTTGAACTTTTCGCAACCTTCATGACTCTCATCATGATGAAGTTATGAATGTGTCTGTCAAATTCTCAATAAACTTGTCTCAACTAGCATAATGTTCTCATCCTAGAGTGGAGTTTCTTTTCCTGGTCTGTGTATATTTTCTGTTGCATTGAGTTGGGGGTGGTGGTAGATTGGTTTTCTTACAGGAGCATCAGGGTGGTGAAAAGGAAATAATATCTGAATCTATCCTGAACTCTATTACACCCACCTCCAACCTGTATACCAATGATGTATACCATTCACGGCTTGGTGTCCCCTTCTCCTCTTACTACTCCTGCCCCTCCCCAAGAAAACCCAACATAGGAAGGACTTTTTCAGTTATTTCCAAATTAGTACAAATAAACGCACTGTATTCCTTTTCCCATGGACTAATAATTGTAGAATAAAGTACCATGTCCCTTAGTCAAAGATTCTGGAAACATTAAGTAATAGAGAAGCTATATACATACGTTAGAAATATGAGAGTTGTTTAGACGAAGGGATAAATATCTTAAATTAAACCATCTATGGTGTTTCCTTTATGGCTTAGAAGCACCCAGGTTAGAAACAATGATGGAGCAGCCACAGTCGTGCTGTGAAGAAGAGAGACAGAGTTGTAAGCCCCAAGTGAGGTTCTCCCTTCCTAAGGTGGCAACTATGTGGAGTACCCCCACAAACCCCCACCTCTAGATGAAGCCACCACCCCCATGTCTGACTAAGAAGCAAAACCCACAGCTGAGAACTTGGGAGATAAGAAGGAAGGAGAAAATTAAACTCAAAGTCATTGGACAGGATATCAATGAGATTCACTTCAAAGTGAAAATGACAATATACCTCAAGAAACTCAAAAAAATCATATTATCAGACAGGGAGTTCCAGTGAATTCACCCAGGTTTCTTTTTAAAGGTCAGAGAATTGCTGATAATGATATTCCAAAAGAACTGAGAATAGAAGAGGAAATGTGATTGAAGTTTATCGAAAACAAACAGGGAGGTCATTCAACGGTTTAGATTTTGTTATTTTCTTCTTCTTTTTTTAATTTTTGGAGAGGTTTTTGCTATAGGCCACGTGCGCTCGCCAGACAGACAGAGAGAGCCAGAGAGACAGAAAGCGAGAAATCACCCCCCCTGGGGGATGGTGGCCAAGTCACAATCCCTTCTCCTCCATTCTCCTCTCAGGATCTTGGGCACGCACGCACTCGCGCCCGGCATGAGTTTAAGCCACCTGGTCCGGAACTCGAACCACAGTCGACTACATGGGAGTCCAATGACATAGCCATTATGCCAACTGCTGGTTCCCTCTGGATTTTCTTTTTATTCTTTTTTTTAATTTTCCCTCAATTCTTTTTTACTTAAAAAAATAGTTCTTGTGTAATGTGATGTTTAAAATGGAGTTGAAAACTGGCTCTCCGTCTCTTTAAAACATCTGGTTATTTGAATCCTAGTACTCAATATTCATTATTGTTTGTTTGCTGAGTTTTGGTGATCAAGCCTCAGTTCTCTTCATAGTGCCCTCTCCTTTATTTAAGTTACATATGTGCACAGAGAGGACCTGTTTCAGGACTCTGCATTTTCAGGCTTGTGGTGATAACTAAGATCGGCCAGTGCAAGGGTTCATAATGACTTTTAAATTGGCCCTGAAGTTTCAGCATGTGATTCCTTAGCTCCTGGACTATGACTTTTTATTTTTATTTATTTTTATTTGGAGAGGTTTTTGCTATAGGGCATGTGCGCTCACCAGAAAGACAGAGAGACAGAAAGCAAGAAATCACCCCCCCAGGGGGAAAGACCACGCTCCTCTTGGGATCCTGGGCGCACACACACACACACACACACACACACATGCCCGGTGTGAGTTTAAGTCACTGGGTCTGGGACTCAAACCGTGGTTTACTACATGGGGTCCAGTGACATAGCCATTATGCCAACTGCTGGTCCCACTGGACTTTGACTTTTAGTGGGAGATGCAAGTTTTTCAGAGAACTGAACTGTGGAAAAATGGCCTTTCCTGGGACCAGTAGTTAGCTGTCTCTCTGTCTTTCTGGCTAGCGCACATGCCCTATAGCAAAAACCTCTGCAAAAAAAAAAGAGAAAAAGAAAAATGACCTTTCCTTAACTTGAATCTATTTTTAAAATTTGAGGGTCTAAACCAAAAGAAGAGGAATATTAGATTGGAGTCAAGATGAAAGATATGGTAAGAGTTCACTAACTCCAAAGATGGCTTCATGGAAGAGAACACATTTTAAGATTAAAAATCTTGTCAGAAGATCCTATAAAAATTCTAGTTTCCATTAGCAGTTAATAAAGTTATTCATGGAGAAGTATATACAACAGAACACTGCTCTTTTTTTATTTTATTTGTACTTTTTGACCTGGGATATGGGTTTTAAATGAACATTGTTCGTAATAGCTTCATTAAAATAAACAAGATTTGTAAAAATTGTTAAAAATAAAGGAACAATGTTGGAAACCTTTATCTTTCTGAGTCAATACTTTTGAGGTAGTGAGTTTCACTTTTAAAGGATATGAGCTGTAACAAATGAGTATTTCTGGGGACCAGCAGGTGGCATGATGGTTAAGGCGCTGGACACTCCCACATGGCCAACCATGACTTGAGTCTTGGACCTGGTGGTTTGCTTTCTCATTTTCTCTCTCTCCGGCCTCTCAAACTGGAAAATAATAATAATAAATAAAGCTAAATAAAATAATTATTAAAATGAGTATCTCTGAAGATGTATCAGACTTTCTCTATATGACTTCAGAGAAGAGAACAATATTCTTTTTATAAGCTGAGTTGTGGGGGAGGGTGAGAGAGAGGGAATCAGGGAGAAAAAGAGGGTAGTGAAACAATTACGAAACTCAAGGTGGTAAGAAATCTGTTGATTATAATGTGTATTGTGGTGTCTTTGATGGAGCCAATGTACAGTGATACTCATGATGGGAAAAATAATTTGGTATGCTGTAATGAGGCACAGTGATTTAATGTATATAAATTGAATAAAAATAAAGTTTCAATTTTCCTGTTGAAAATATTTTATGTAGAATATAAATATTCCTGGTTACAGAAGCTTTTGGCTTCACCCTGTTTTTTTATTGAATATCTACAGATGGTAATAGTAAATATGATTCTTCTCATAGCAAAAAAAAAAAAAAAATCAAAGTTGGTTGGAGTGATAATTTCAGAAGAGAATGTTTTCTCCACTACATTTCACTCAATTGTTTGGAAAGCATCTTGTTCAAGCATATCTAAGGATCAGATTCTATTTCTTTCAACAGTAGTAGGCATTGTCACAGACAATAACTCAATAACATCCCCAGTTTGGAACTTTCTTTTTCTGGGGAGAGATTTTTTTTTTTGCTATAGGGTATGTGCGCTCGCCAGACAGAGAGAGACAGAGAGACAGAAAGTGAGAAATCACCCCCCGGGGGGGATGGCCACACCGCAATCCCTTCTCCTCCATTCTCCTCTCTGGATCTTGGGCACACATGCACATGCGTCTGGCATGAGTTTAAGCCACCGAGTCCAGGACTGGATTTGTGGTTGATTACAAGGGAGTCCAGCGACATAGCCATTACACCAACTGCTGGTCCCCTTAGTTTGGAACTTTCTTTTTTTTTTTTTGAGAGGTTTTTGCTATAGGGTATGTGCGCTCGCCAGACAGAGAGAGACAGAGAGACAGAAAGTGAGAAATCACCCCCCAGGGGGTATGGCCATGCTGCAATCCCTTCTCCTCCGTACTCCTCTCGGGATCTTGGGCATGCACGTACACGCGCCCGGCGTGAGTTTTAAGCCACTGGGTCCAGGACATGAACCGCGGTTGACTACGTGGGAGTCCAGTGACATAGCCATTACACTAACTGCTGGTCCCTAGTTTGGAACTTTCTATTGAAGTATCCACATGTAAACTCATGATGAGAATTGTGAATTAATCAAATATGCACGCTAGAATAGAATAAGAAAAGGGTGGGCCTGGTTGGTTGCTGTTGAAATGAATAGCTCATGAAACTTGAGAAAGGGGTGCTTGTTCTGGCAAAAGGTTACTATGGAATCAAAGCTGTCATCGTGAAAACATTGCTGATACCACCTTAAACTGCCCTACAGCTGTGCTCAGTTGCTGGAATTGACTATTACCCTCACAAAGAGAAGCCACCATGGGCAAGAAGAAAATTGCCAAGTTAAAGATTAAGTCTTCTGAGAAAGTTTATAACGGGACCAGCAGTTAGTGAAATGGCTATGTAGCTGGACTCCCACGTAGTCGACCGTGGTTCGCGCTCCGGACCCGGTGGTTTAAAACTCATGCCGGGCGCGTGTGCATGTGTGCCCAAGATCCTGAGAGGAGAATGGAGGAGAAGGGATTGCGGCGTGACCATCTCCCCTGGGGGGTGATTTCTCGCTTTCTATCTCTCTGTCTCTCTCTGTCTGTCTGGCAATCGCACGCACCCTATAGCAAAAAACCTCTCCAAAAAAAAAAAAAAACCACAAAAAACAAAAAAGAAAGTTTATAACTATAATTACTTCATACTCACCACATACTCTGTGCATATGCCCTTAGACAAAACTGTGGTCAATAAAGGTTTATTGCAAGACCCTTATCTTAAACGCAAGGCTTGGTGGGAGACAAAATTCAAGTTCAAAGAGAGATATAAGGTGGATGAGAATAAGTAGTTCTTCTGGAAGCTGGACTGTTAGATGTCTTATATTTCAGTCATAAAAAAAGATAAAAAGAAAATACCC